AGAGAGAGAGAGAGAGAGAGAGAGAGAGAGAGAGAGAGAATATATATAATAAAGTAAATTAAATTGGGCAACGGAACTGGGGGGGGAGATGTGGGTAGATATAGATAGGGGAGAGGATCTAAATACCATCAAACTAGCCTGGCATAGTGCTGTGTGCCTTGCATGCCCTAATCCCTGCACTCTGGAGTTAGAGGCAAGCAGATCTCTGTGAGATGCAGGCTTCCCTGGTGTATATAACAATTTCCAGGCCAGCTGGGCTACTGGGTAACCCTGTCTCAAACAGATTAAAAATACATTACCATCAAACTATATTGTAGTAGAAAACTGTAGAAAGTCACAAAAATTCAATAATTTTTTTTTAATTAAGAAATAAGTGGATGTATTTACACTGAAGGACACGGGTATAAACATCTGAATGAATAGGACTCATCATGTATGGCAGAGTGCATAGGGTTCAGGGTGGGGATAGGGGGAGGCATAGATGGGGGAGGGTGTTCTGGATTTGAGTGGGAGATGCATGAAATTTTAAAATCTCAATAAAAAGAATTAAATGAATTAAAAAATTAAAAAGAAAATATTCATGGACTTAAAGAACACATTGCCTTTAAAATGGCAATATTCCTCAAACAATCATTCCGTACAGATAACATAATTGTGCATCTGCAAAAAATGTGAGCTTAAAATACAAAGCAAACATATAAGCTCCTGTGTTCTAATTAGCAAACAAAGAAAACCACTGGTATTCTATACACACATTAGCCAAATATAAGCATCACAGAAGTGGGACATCTCCTATAACCACAAAAACTTATATTCGTTTTTGTTTATTGTTAAGATGCTTGTGCATCACTTGTGAGAGTGAGTGTGCACATACCTTGGTGCATATACAAAGGCCAAAGTTCAATTTGTGGTGTCAGTTCCTTCCTTCCAACTTTAGTGGTTTCCAGAGATCAAACCAGGCTTATTAGGTTGTCAGGCTTATTTGGCAAGTACTTTACCAGTCATGCCATCTTACTGGCCCCCAACTACGCAGTCCTTTTCCAGCTTGTTCCTAGCACACTCGAGGTATAACTGTGTGGAGTTTCCTGTTATTGATGTTTCATTTGACTCCGACGGAGCCTCCCTCTACTATATCACTTCAAAAGATTTTTTGAACATTATTTACGTGAAAACTATGTCAGTACTGAAAATATGAAGGGAGGGAGGATGTGGAATGGCAAAGTAGTATATACAGTTCTTACCTAACATAAGCAAGGCCCTATGTTTGATACCAGGTCTAGAAAGAAAGAGATATAAAGTACACAGATAACTCACCACTCTAATATTAATGCCTTTTTCTTGGTGGCTGTTTATCACATATGCCCCCTTCTCATTTCATAGCTTCTCTCCAGATTGGCACAAAGAAAAAATATTCACTAAATAGCTTTTCAACAGATAAGTTTTGAACAATATTACAAGAATGAAAAAAGTGCATTGCAAATACAAACCATCAGTTTGAATGGGTTTCTTTGAGAAAATCAGTCTGAAATCAAAATTGCCATTTTTAAAACTATATAGGATTCTACATTACAGAAGATTTAAACAAAAGCACGCAGTTCATGACTCTGCTTGCCTTTTAAAAGTAATTAATGTATCTTTTAATTTCTTTTTTGATTTAACGTTTGCAAATCACATATTTTTTATATTTAATCCCCTGCTCTAGCTCCGCCCCCTTACTGCCTTCCACTCAATTTCATGTAATCTAATTATATATAGAGTCAATTTGGGTAACCAAATCCCCTTTAGTGTGTGTTCTTCCACCCTAGCCTGGCCAATTTACCAAGATTTTCAACCCTTAATGAAGGTTGATTCTTCCCCTCCTAGTAGTGGTCAGTTGCCATATTTCCCCAGGCAGGGCTGGACTTGCTTACCCACTTCCGAGTGTACAAGTGCAGATTTTGTTTAGCTTCAGTTTGCATGGGATTTGTTCAGCTGTTACCATTGCTGTGAATTCATATGAGTAACTGACCAGCTGTCTGCAGACCTCTGTTCCCTTGTGGTTATCCACCACCTCTGTCTCTTCGGTCTTTCTACCCCGGGGCTGGACTTGCTTACCCACTTCCGAGTGTACAAGTGCAGATTTTGTTTAGTTTCAGTTTGCATGGGATTTGTTCAGCTGTCACCATTGCTGTGAATTCATATGAGTAACTGACAAGCTGTCTGAAGACTGTTCCCCTGTGGTTATCCACCACCTCTGTCTCTTCAATCTTTCCACCCCATCTTCCTCTCTGCTGCTTTGGAGTCAGAAGTGTGATATAGGTGTGCTATTCAGGAATAAGCAGTCTGCAGCCTCTTATTCTCTGCACATTAGCCAGATGCCGTTATCTGGGTTGATCACCATCTGCAGCAAAGGAAGCTTCTCTGCTGAGAGTCGCAAGATGCATTACTCCATGGGCATAACAGTAATTCATTTGGAGTCACCTTAATACTATATCTATTAGAAGAATAACAGCACTGGCTGCTCCCCTATGGTCTGCAACCTGTCTAGCCTCAGGTTCCCAGGTCTGATACCAAGGACAAGTGTGGGCTCCATCTTATGCAGCAGACCATAAATTCAATTTTGCTTCACATCTTAAACCTAAAATTTTTGCATTTTTATCTATTTTATGAATTCATCTAATTTTAATATTTCATTTATTTCTACCACAAATAAATATTAAGAACATACAAACAGCTGGGTGTGGTAGTACACACCTTTAATCTCAACGCTTAGGGAGCAGAGACAGAAGGATCTCTTTAAGATCCAGCCCAGACTGGTTTCCATAGTGAGTTTCAGGCCAGCTGAAGCTACAGGGAGACCCAATCTCAAAAAAATAAATAAATAAAAAATAGACTAGATTATGAATTGAGCATTCATAAGATACTATAAATTTCTGTTCCTATAACAATATGCTTAATTTCAACACTAATAAAATATGAATACAGGCAGCATGAATATTTTTAAATATGAATGATCAAGTAATGATATATAAAATTATCATCAGACATGCCTTACTATACTGTTGAATAAAAATTAAAATGTATTACAGTATGTAGCTAAGAGCAACATAAAAAAACAACACTTCTAAATATAAATTAGATGTCTCTACTAAGGTTAAATGAACTTATGAATTATTGGTTCCGAAACTAGTAACACAGATAATTCTAGCACAGTAACCCCATGATATTTGGTAATTAATATAAATAATTCTAAATTGGATTCTATATTTAAAATAATGGTTTTAAAACCTATGATTTTCAAGACTAATACATTATTAATATTTCCCTGATAACTTTTCCATAAATTCTGTATAATGAGATTATATTTCTCTAGTTACAATAATACACACAGTTACTATGTCTCACATGGATCATGATTACATGTACCATATATTGTAAGTTAATAGTACTAATTTACGAAACTCAGAAAGGTTACATATGATTTACTAAAAATAATATAGCTATGACATAAAAATGTGCTAATTATCATATGTGCACGTATTTCACTAAAGTTACAATATATTTAGATAACTGTTATTCAAAATAGAGACCATAAAATTCATAAAGTAGTACACGACAGAAGAATATGGGAAAGTAAAGTAAAAATGGGTAATGCAGAATTTCTTACAAACGCATGTTCCTCTAGAATATGCAAAAAGATCCTTATATGACTTAGGGACCTGAGGGTTCGACATCTTTGGCCCTGCACCTCAGCCACCACCATACATAAAGTGAAGCCTGTCTCAGCTTAGTGTTCCCAAGGATCAGGACACAGGAGTGGAGAGAAGGAAAAGAGACTCCAGCAGCCTGGCAGGACAGGATGGTCAAAGTTTTTTTCAGCATCACAGAGCTCCACAGTTGTACAACCTGAGACAGAAAGAAAATGAAATACAGAAGAAGAGAGGCAATGATGACTCTCAAGGCTTTGACATGGGCAGTTGTGCCAGCATCTCGGCATCCTTGGGCATTGTGCTGTATCTTCTTGTGATGTTTCCAGAGGGAGGAGATGAGCAAAAGAAATGTTGTGAGGCACATGGTGAAGGGCACAGAAACTAAAGTGGTGTTAAGAATTAAGAGAAACCTGTAAGATTTTGTAAAATTATTCAAACTAGAAGAACAGGACACGTTACTTTTAAATCCCTCAAAGCAGATATAATTATTTGTCTTCCATGAAAAAATATTTACACACAGTGGGATCAGAGACATCAGCAGAGTCATGGAAACTACTCTTTTAACTCTCCATTTAAGATAAAGAAATAGAGAGTTAGAAAAATTGGCGATCTTAAAAAAATAAAAAATGCTGAGGCAGGTAGCAAGCCAGAGGGTAAAATGGCTGGTTGCTGTCCAGGTGATGTGGATCATAATCATAAAATTTTCAACCAGCAGTAAACTTGGGTACAGAACAACTATTACTATGCCTGTGAATACCGACCAGAGCAGACCAATTCTGGATATAGCCAGAGCAGTGAGAATTTGATCCACCACAGAGATTTTTCTTCTCTTGGCCCAGTCCATGCAGTTCACCAGAGCCACAAATGCATTTAATACATTTCCTGTTATGAACTCCACAATTAAAATGATAATTAGTGTCCTCTGTATGATGCCATCCATTGTTTCAAAGAAAATGTCTCCATTTCTAAAGTCACTGGAAAATTTTGAAATGATAGCTTGACTGTTCATAGCATGCTTGCTTTTAAAATTCCCATTTGAAATATTCAACATGCAGACATCAAAAAATCACAATGGACTGGGCTCATAGCTTCCTTCACAAATATGCGTTTTTCCACACAGTTCATCTGAGCGTCATTCAGAACTGTGCTCCTTACACACAACAGCCTGAAACATTTTCTAATTAATGATATATGAAACAGTGAAATGTCACGTACTAAGATGCAAATAAATACATTATTTGCATTGTTTTGGTGTTTATGTCTGATATACATATATTAATCTGGCTACCTGAGCTCAGAAAAGAGACATTAGCAAGTTCTAATGTTTATAGAAAGCAAAAGGAATCCAAATTGGTGTATGGAACTTCATAAGCCTGGAATCTTTAACAGTATATCAAAACAAGTCTGTGCAAATCCCTATACACATGTTATTCAAAGTTCTTCCTGTAATACTAGCGTGTATCTAATAATGTCACAGGGATTGTATCATCAAGTACTTAGGCTTGACAATGAGATTTCCTTATAATTTGATTGTTTTAAAAAGTCATTGATGCACACACAGGTATGCACACTCACAAATAAACATTTATACATTTAAGTAAAAATCCCTTTCGTCACATTTTAATTTATAAATTTTCAAATATTATTATACATCTAGCTCATTCTTGTACTGTGACAGTTGATCACACATTGTTTAGCAAAGCTTTCACATAACTGCTGTGAGATTGATGTAAAAGTTCAGTAAACTTAGCTCTACGTTATTAATACATGCAGAGTGGCATAAATCTTCCTGTTGTGCTAAGAAGCAGTCACTGAGGAAGAATGATACACACACACACACACACACACACACACACACACACACAAAACATTGTTACATTCTCGGCCTCTTACCTGTACATTTGAGTTGATTTATCAATTAGCACCAAAGACCATCAGAGAGATTAGATAGTACCCACCTCCTCTCACATCCCTCCAACATTCACTCAATGACTATCACTCACAGACACCAAAGCAGATGAAAATTAACAGGAAAGTTAGGAAATGAGCACCATGACACAGTGCCAGTTCAATATCCAGAGTTATAAAAGGACCAGTTATATAAAGTCAGTACATAAAATAGCAGAAAAACCTATACTTCAGCTATAACTGAGAATAGCATGTGGTATTTGAGTATGGAAGATTCAAAGCACCCTCAGTCACCTAAGGCTATAACAAAAAAGGAAAATTCAACACAGCTCAGAAATTCTCACACTTGAACAGTAATTGCATGCACAGATCAGAAAATGCATAAGAGGTCAGAATGGAAGATGTTCAAGGAAACCTCTGAGCAATTGCAACACACAAGCCTTCAGAGGACCTGCAGGAATATCTCCCCCATTTGTCTTCTCCCAGGCAACAAAGATGAGCTGAAGTAAGAAGAGAACCAGACATGCAAACAGACCTAGAGATGGGGCTGTGTGGAGTTTGTGATGGTAGAGTGACTTCATGAGCTTTCAGAGTAGAGATAGTACTTGGGTCTCACCATAGCCCCACCCTGGGGAGGTTTCCTAAATTCCACCATGGCACCTTCCAATCATGACTGGAGCATCTTAGTTTCTGTCTGCTTGATGACCTCCAGAGAAAGTCTCCTTTTCAGGCAGGAAAGAATGACACCAAGGACAATTAGAAGGACACGGCGGGGATATAATGCAAGCTCCAGTGTTCACTAGCATGAATACAGTCACAAAGCTGATACTGTTCCTTAGATGGCTCTGGCAAGATTTACTTCTTCATATGTTTTGCTCTGTATATATAAAGTTTTTAGTAAAAATTAACTATGAGCTTTTAAAATGAATGAAATTATAATGTTTTCATAATTTAAACACTTCTTAAGGCGAGACAGCTGCTTCTGTCTTTTGATAAACTGTTTCTGTTGCAGTACATAAAGAAAATTCAGACACAGATTTGTAGTTAGAGAAAAGGAGTATTTTGTAGGATTTTCAAGTAATTGTAGATTCTTTTCTCTGTATTTATTAGTTGCTCAAAATAACGTTTCCATTTTGATACATACACACTTTAAAGTTTTAAAACACTATAGTTCATATTCAGCTCTCTTCATTGCATTCTTAAACAACAACTCCTGGCCTCTGATTTACTTCCTTAATATTCTTCTGATCATTGTTCCTAATTCTGCTTACAATTTCAAGATGGAAAAACCATTAAAGTCACCAAAAGCATCAATTGAAGACTCTCTTCTATTTAGGTGAAAATAATATATAAATTTAGAGAACTTGTCCAACTTGAGCCAAAGAAATATGCTGACGCTAAAGGAAAGTCAGGGCCTAAAATTTTTATTTACTTGCAAGTATATGAACCCTTACTGTTGGATTTTTTTTTTTTAGACATGTCTCACTCTGTAGCCCAGGCTGGCCTTGAACTCATTATGTTAGTGTTTGTGGAGATCCTGCTGCCCTTTCTGACAAGTGCTGAGATTAGAGGCATGAAGCAGAATATCCACGTGAGAACAATAATTGCTATCTTTCAAATCTATCACGTCACGGATTTATAGCAAGGTTTTAACTTCTCCAAAGGAAAGCAAATTTAGGGAGAGACAAAACACTTAGAATACAGTCAGCTGAGGAGGGACATTTTCCCTTGACTCAGTTATGCAGTTCACCACTGCTGAACACACTGGTATAAAGTCTAGAAACAAATTCAGCTGTTATTTATATGAGTATGACGCTCCATAGTAAACTTCAGTCAGGAAAAAAAATCAGAACAATCATAATATCCCTGAAAGTGATGTTTTATAGTCTATTAAACTAAAATTCGGCTGGCCCCTGATCTCTGGATGCATGGGAGAAGCTCCTGCTTTCATTTACAATGTTTGTACCATGTCAAGTAGGAAAGCGTGAACTTGTGCTTGAGAACGAACACAATGATATTTTCATAGAATATATTGTCATGTCCAAACAGCTCTGAAGCGCAGTCTGCTGTCTACATGTCCTTATGTAGCATTTGTGGTAATTGTTCAATTTCTGTAAGCTGGAGTTCTTCAAAGCAGGTGCCGGAGAGAAAGCTGAACGTGTATTTGCTGGCAGGCAAATAAAGACATATTCTCTTTCATAGTTTTGAGTTTTGTTTTCTTTTTACCTAGCCTGAAATCTGCATTATTTGAATCCGGCAAGTATAGATGTCAGCTAATTGTTTGACATCTGCTGTACGGAAGGTGTAGGACACGTGTTCTTTGATGGAGTCGCTGCAGAGGGCTGAGTTTCATCCACACCCTGCTTTTTTATTTATTTATTTGCACTCCATAACTACCTACAGACACACCCTCAACACCACAATCCCCTACACATTCCATCTGGATTCAGTAAAAGTTCTAAGGAAAGATAAGACAAGAATTATTTTCCTATAATTCCCCCAAAGAAAAATGATTCCTGGAAAACTCGCTGTTTTAAATCCCTTTTTGAATCCAGCCAAATGGCTCACATTGTGTATCAGCCATGTATTTCAGACCTAGAATATTTACAAACTCTTCCCTCCTGACTGGAATATTTCACTGCTCGATAACTGATGAAATTTCAAGAATTTCATATTTCTTAAATCCCTTGGAATTTTCATTGGAATTGTATTAGGCATAAAGAATTGAACAAAATGGTTATCTTGGAAAATGTTTTTAAAGAAAAAGATATAAATTGGCATTTATTCAGACACTTTTGGTGTTTGTCAACCTAACGTAGTAACTATCTTAGTAAATTATGAAGCTTGATACTTATTATTGGCACATTTCAATATTGTGTTGGTTGTGGCATAAATACGCAGTTTGAAATGTAATATTGTATATTACTATTATAGATGAATTTCTTAAAATTACATTTGGAATTATCGCCAACCTTATTTTATTGAATTAACCCTCTACATTTTTCTTTGTAGATTTCAGTGGAATAACCCTAGATGAAAATGTTTTATCCAAGAACAATAAATTTGTGCTGTCATTTTCATAATTTTCTACCTCTGTTCAGTGCAATAATTAACTCTAAAAGAAATTTCTCTGGATCCTGGCATCAGTAAAAAGAGCCCTACTTTCGCCAACCTTATTTTATTGAATTAACCCTCTACATTTTTCTTTGTAGATTTCAGTGGAATAACCCTAGATGAAAATGTTTTATCCAAGAACAATAAATTTGTGCTGTCATTTTCATAATTTTCTACCTCTGTTCAGTGCAATAATTAACTCTAAAAGAAATTTCTCTGGATCCTGGCATCAGTAAAAAGAGCCTTACTTTCCTGTATCTCTTAATACACTCATGGTAAAATTTTTTTTTGAGACAGGAAATCAGTATGTAGCCAATACTGACTTCCAACACACAAAATTCCTGTATCAATTCTTGAGTACTTGGATTAGAGGTACATGCCATACCCCAGTAGAAAAATTATCCTTGCAGTAGGATAATTTAATCTTTGGCAGTTGTTACAGGTCGTTGTTCAATTAGGAAACAGATCATATAGATGTTTCATTAAAATGTTTAACATGAATTATTTCACCAAGAAAAATTTAAGATGAAGACTTTTTGACAATAATAATGAATATAAATTTGGATTGGCTACAGAAATGCAAAGATAACGCTACAGGTAAAGAAATAACAGGTGTCTTGTGACAACAGTCATGAAAGGGTCTAAGAGTATGGAATATATCTGAATTCACAATTCAGAAAGTTGTCTTACCATATTTTATATAATAAGAGATTGGGGGGGGAATAAGTCTAGTCTGTTGCCAATCTTTATATTTTTCATAAAAGCATCAAATACCTATACATATATACAAGTATTTTTACTTAATCAGCATAATCAAAATGCTTTGTAGGAAGATCTGTAGAAACTACTAAAATAACAGCATTCTGGAAAAAAATGCCAGAGAGTACCGAGATACAAACGCCATCAGTTTCTGATAGA